GATCGCTGCCATTCTGCTTTACGGCGCTTTCACTTCAACTCTTTATCTATGGCCATTGTTAGCAAACAGGAACTTTGTCTGTTTCTGGGAACCGAATTTTATCACCCTTATCTCTTGCCTGCTCAACTTATGCGTGCGCCTGCAGGCTTGTACTGTCGGTACTGTCAGTCGCCAAAGGCAGGTCCTTGAACAGGTTGTGGACCTTTCTGAACCTTATCAACACATCTGCTCACAGAATTAGATGGAAGTCTGATTCATTTCATCTCTTTGAGATGGCTGAAAAGAAGTGTCACGTCAACGAAAATGAACTTTCCGACGGCCTTTTCTTTTGGCTCTCAACAGAAAACTAAAACTACAGAAGCTCTCGTGTGAAACATGCGGACAATGAGCGCAGTCTCTCACGACGGTTTGGAAATGCTTTATGCTATTCGAAGAGCTCAATGGCTACCTGACAGAAATGCATCGCTCAGAAACCCTTTCATGTTCACTGGGAAGCCGCTGGATCAGCTTAATGGCACCAGGAGTATTGGCAAGATCATGGGGAAACTCCAGGGACGACATTGAGGGGTGAGCATCCCTCAGTTGGAGAGGTTTGAAAACGCGGTGCAAAGTCCCGCATACAGTCGCACCTTTCCGAACCCAAGAGTTTCGAACCCACATTCGCGAGGTTTGAAGTTCCGTCCCTGAGTTGCTCAAACTAAAGCACTAATTCTGGAACCACACACTTCATAAATTTTATGCTTCTGCGACATTCCACCTCAGTAAGGTGCGCTCCTTCTGCGACCTCCGTACCTCAGTAATGTGCGCTCGTTCTGCGACTTCAGCACCTCGATGAGGTAAGCTTTTCCTGTGACTTCAGTCCTCTAGTAAGGTGCAGAAAGCTAACCAAGAAAGTTAACACCCTCCTCCCTTGGTATGTCACCTAGTTTGAATGTCCTCAGAATTAACGAGAGGCAAATGTTCACAGGAATTAAGCATGTTATCCGATAGAGTGAAATTTCTATAAATCATTTTCGGATGCATTGGAGAAAATATCCATCTTTCAAACAAAATATTATATTGATCGAAACGCCTTCACTTATGGGTCAACCCGATACTAAGATTTTGAAACAGCCAGGGTTGTGCAAAAGAGTGTCTGGTTACAGCTCGAGGGTACCATTCAAGTCGTCGCCTTCATCCATAGAACAACGAAAAGGTTTGGACACTGTTTGTCATGTAAAACAATTCCCCAAAATGGGCTTATATCTTTTACTGCTTATCGTCAGAGGCAGTTCTCACAGTGAACTTTTCTAGGAAGTTCTTGAGCTGAGCATCTTTCTGTGATGGCGACATCTCATGTCGTTCCTCGACGTTTTTCGGCTTACATCTAGTGGAAGAACTTTCCTGGTGTTTTCATCGATTACTGTCTAGATTCCTGTAGTGACCGTGAGCTCCTGTAAAGCTCTGCAATAGCACAAGCATTACTTAGACTTTACAAGGAGCCCACAGATCTCGTCAACGTGAAAAGCACGAGTCAACGCTATCTGAAAAAAAAACTGGCGAGCTTGAATAATGCCTCCTCCCACCCCCCTGGATCGAACAGCACCCGTTTCTTTAACTAGCCGAATTCCAGCACCCTAAATGATGACTTGCGGCAGCGTTATCAAAGCGATAAAACGTGAGAGGGAAAGACGCAATCTACAAAGATCACACGCTCACAGTTTTCCACGCAGATTTTCTCGGAAGATTGTTCGCAATTGAATGTCACGAATTGCTGGAACAATCATGATAACGAAACAGCGCCACAAAAATGACAGGCAACATATATCAAAAGTATGCTTTTGTGTGCTTTCGTGCCGCAAGTTGTTCTAACAGAGTCGGGCAAGTCCCCTTAGGTCAGGTCGTCACCGACCCGTAAGTGAATATCTCACTCTGGCTACGGTAAAAATGTCTAATCGAACTACTCCTTCAGTATCATTTCACTCATCTAGGTGTACAAATGGCTGCGTTTGTGATTGCTATCAGGCGAAACAAAATTATATAACTTAAAAAGTTGAAAATTCTACAAAATATGACTTTGGAAATGTACTACGACACCGTCGAAGTCAGGAACTCAGAATAATTGGCAAATCCCTCACAGAATGGTCATTCTTGTTGGAAACAGGCCTTAATGATCACTTCGAACGGAGAAAATCCAATATGGTTGGTTCTTTCTTCTGATAGAATACATTAATTTTATTCTTATTCAACAAATATCAGACAACCTATTGTGGCCTTCAGTGTCTATCACCTTATGCCAACGTGCAGGCAAAAACTCAAATCCACGTTTGAAGACAAACTGAACACTCCACTCTCCGTGGATCCTGATCTTTGCCATTTGTGAGTTGGGTGGCATCGCAGCTGCAGTAGCGCACCGCGTTCTCCGCTAAAAATGTGCACGGGAACAGGGCTAGAGGGTAGTGGGACTACAGACAACTCGAACTCAGTCCTTTTAATCGCACCGACTTCGGTTTCTATCGGCGCTTTGTGCGCAGCGAACTTACACCAAAACTTTCAGATTTTTACTCCGAGTGCGTGATTCCACCTCGGTGCCTTGGTCCTTTGAAGACAGCTCACCTTGGTCTCCTGAAAAGCTCACGCCCTTGCTCATGGTATGTTTTTTGCACACTTTGATGCCTTGGTAGCCGCAATCCTAGGTTTATCTGCGCTCTGGCTTTCGCGTTAAGACCACTGCAAAACCCACATAACTGCGGGTAGTGGCAGCCGGGTGAAATCTCCGTACTCCACCCGCCCTGCAACACGACTCTCCTGACCTTAGCCAAGTGCGCTACTTCTCTGCACCCTCTCACTTCTGATCGTTCTCTGCAACCGAGTACTGCGGGATCGAGTGCTGCACCTTGAATACAGCGCGGGCGAGTGGAGACAGCTTTCGGGTGCTACAACCTTACACACCCGTCCATACACTTCTGAGCGGAGAAAACGCACGCTACCGTAGCTGCGGACTCATTCGCCGCGCACATGGCAAAGACCGCCTCGGAGGTAAGTGTGAAATTTATCTTCAGAGAGACCAGCAGAAGAGCGACTGTGAAACGAAACATCGTTTTGTCGTTCTTTAGGTCATCGCGGTTATTGAGACCACGTCCCTGAAGACGATTCACTAACGCGTGAAAGAGCAAGTGACCCGCAAATGAAATGGTGGCATTGAATCGTGGGTAAAGAAAAACCTCATCTCCTCAACATTGCAGTTGAAAGCAGAGCATATCATCGCAGTAGAATTCAGAAAAAGCACAGAGCGCGAATCGCTTTTCCCATGTTGGGGTAGGCTCTGCACAAATTATCTGCTGAACGTGAGCTTGCACATCCTTTTACGAGGGGTGTTCGATGTATTCCCGGCATAGGTAAGGCAGAAAATTCTGGTGGGTTTATTTCTCGATGTAGTCCACATAACCTCACATAACCTCAATACACTTGTTTGCTCGGGGAACTAACTTTTCAATACCCTGTAAAATATTTTCCTCCTTGTCTCCAAAATGTGCGTTAATTGCCGCCTTCAGCTCTTCATCGTCAGAAAAATGGTTTCCACAAGGATCTTTTTGGTCGGGAACAAGAAGTAGTCACTAATCATTTCCCAATTTTTTTCATTTTCTCATTTTTTTTACCAGTAATCATTTTCTCAACATTGTCGCCTCATCGTTCTGAGGCTTTTCGTTTCACTCATGATAAGTAGAATCTAGACTGATGATAGCGACCATAATGATAATTTTTGGTATTCTATACCCTCAGGAAGTGGTCTTGCCGACGTTCTTGACTGAAATGCTGGTTCAACATTCAAATAACCTCTCGACACTGCTACACAATGAATCCCTTAACCTTGACTACTTTTAGAACGGCCTTCGTGATCGGTACGGAGAAAATAATATGCATAAGCAATCTTTCAACTCCCTGATATCGTGCGAGTGACACTGCTGCCTTCCGCGGTGGGGAGGGGGGACCTTTAAAGGAACAGCACGATAAATCGCACGATAAGAACGAGCTAGGATTAAGTATTGCCTTGCGGGGCGGAATTCCGCGACCCTGAGCAGGCGCTGCATAGCGCCTTTCCCAGGGAAGGTGCCCTTATAAGGGCCCTATGAAGCTACAACATTACGACCCGAACGCCCGCCTCGTAGCTTCATTTGCTAAGCAAATTATGAAGCGAAGGGATTGGTATGAAGCGGCCGTGATGCTGCATGGATATATGAGTACACATATGCAGCCGTACCTTCGGTAGCGGTTTGGCAAGATGCCTACGGGAAACTCGTCCAAAATCGATATTCAAGTCATTGAGAACGGAGGCTCTTTCTTCGTAGGATTTTGACCGTTTCACTCCGTTCTTTCGCCATTTCCCCACTATATAGCGCCCTACTAGCATTTTAGGCCGAGCACCAAATCATCGTGCCAACTGCCTTTAAGCAATATTTGTACCCCCTGAGAACAATGACCCTCACTTCGTTGCCATATAGCAGAGTGCCACTCTCAGCAAGACTCCGTCCGAAATGGAATGCATTCAAGGGGCGAACGAGGTGAATCGATTCGCCAGCGTGTGGACACGAGTAGCCGGCGCCATTTTTTTGCAGACCAATAGATTTCTTCTAGAAGCGCTCTGGGAGCGAGGCCGATCGTAAACAACGGGCTGTCAGCAAGAAGTCCGTTATTTGACCCTTTCGCTAGACTGAAGTCCCATGCTATCACATCACCTTAATGTTTTAATATTTATTAATAGATCTTCGGAATGAGAAGAAACAAAAGAGCTATAAACAACACAAAAAAGAGGAATTCACAAGTCATCAGGCTACAAAGAGAATAAAGTCATAAATTATGCCGCCAAGCAAAACATAATCTGTCATTTGTGCTAACCTTACCACAAGTTTTATGGTTCGGAATTGGAAAACTAGAGGAAGATGAGCTGTATTTGCACTGTTGAAAAAAAAGTACAATAACAAAACTGGCGCGCGATTCGAATAAAGTAGACGACAGCATACTTAGAAGCACTTGCGGTGAACAATAGACGGCCCAGATTCGTCATATTCTTGCTTCGAGATCCACATCTGTTGGAACGTCGACAAGGAAGCGAGAATAGAGCCACCAATCCATACAGAGTACTTGCGCTCTGGTGGCGCAATAATCTTGATCTTCATCGTGCTGAAAGAATACCTTATTAGGGTAATATTTAAAGTGAGGCATAATCGACATATAGACCATAGATAGTCGAGATTTGAAGAATAACATAATTTGTATAAAAATATATACAAGTCTCCATCTTCCCAAAATAATAATTATTTCAAGCGTCAATATATGGCCTACGAACCTTGGGGCGAGATTGGTGATCTCCTTTTGCATTCGATCAGCGATTCCAGGGAACATCGATGTACCACCAGAAAGGACGGTGTTGGCGTACAAGTCCTAAATAGCCAGGTTATGAGAACATCGAACATAGATCAGCTCGGCTCAGGGGTTCGGAACATCCACAACGTGGGCCAAACCCTTCTGCAAGTTAATATCAGCTCAACTTTAAACTCTTGTGAAGCGGAATTGTACTTGTGAGCCACTTTGTTCACAGCAATTCGGTCTTAACAAAATGGCCTCGGTTAAAGAATTTTAGGCAGTACGACTTATACGAGCTTCGCTGAGTCTGGTACCCCCACCAAGCCAAACTGCATTAACGGGAAGTTTACCCTTTACCTTTCGGATATCGACGTCACACTTCATGATAGAGTTGTATGTGGTTTCATGAATACCAGTCGATTCCATTCCAAGGAACGACGGTTGGAACAATGCCTCTGGACATCGGAATCGTTCATTACCAATAGTGATAACCTAAAGCTGATCGTTTGGTGACAACAAAAGCTTGCAATATGAATAAACATACCTGGCCATCAGGAAGTTCATAACTCTTCTCAAGGGATGACGACGATGCGGCAGTAGCCATCTCTTGTTCAAAATCGAGCGCAACATAACAAAGCTTTTCCTTAAAAGCATTTTCATACGTTAACTGCCTTAGATCCACAACTAAAGATAACCAACCTTGATATCCCTAACAATTTCCCTCTCGGCAGTGGTGGTGAAGGAATAGCCTCTCTCAGTCAAAATCTTCATCATGTAGTCGGTCAAATCACGACCGGCCAAGTCCAAACGCAGGATAGCATGCGGTAAAGCATATCCCTTAAATAGAGTTACTAGATTACTTGCTGTGGATGATGGCAGTTGCTCAGTGCACGTTAACATCCTTGAAGACAACTGACCAAGGCACATCGTTGTTGGGGATTCCCCAGTGAGGGGGGGGGGGATTTGGCCGAAAATTTTTTCTGATAGTTGATTCTTCTTGTTTCAAGGAAGTTGTGAAGTGGGATCGTTTTTGGTCGTTGTTAAGAGAAGGGAGGGACGGGGGTCGTGTTGCCCTTCTGGTTTTCTGAGAAAAGTTACTGAATTTCTACTTTTTGTGGTTTTCCCTGTTTCGTATGTACTATTTACACCCTCCCGCTCGACAGCTCGATGAGGAGGTAGCGAAGGGAGGGGGGGGGGGGGGAAGGAGGATCGTACGGACTCGACCAATCCCCAACCAAGACGTGCCCTGCAAACAGTAATCTACCTGGAACAAGCTCGATATGAGAACTTAAAAATTTGATACCTCATAAATAGGCACAGTGTGGGTGACTCCATCTCCAGTATCAAGGACGATACCCGTGGTTCGTCCTGATGCATACAACGACAACACGGCCTGGATAGCCACATACATTGCTGGCGTGTTGAATGTTTCGAACATGATCTGTAAAAATAATCTGCAAAATCAGTTTTCATTTCTTAGCATAGAGATTTTCCATACTTCCGTACTCTTTTGTGTCAAATATCACTGCTGTAACCGTTGTCCAACATCCCTTTACCGATAGGTTTTCACTCTTTCATGGATTTGCAATTACTAGCGACAGAAGTATTACCAATGAGATATGGCGATTTCGGTCGTCTCGATTTTATTTGTTCCCTACTGCCCCACATAGATATAATCGGATCAACGTCTGCCACATTGATTGGCCGACAGCGACAGTCGACGCATCACAGTCATGCATCGTTTGTCGCATAACTACAGCTGGCTGGCTATAGATAACAATTAAGCAACTACTACTTAAGCATAGATACCAACGCTGGCAACTGCCGCCCAAATTCTCTTATTAGGAGTAAAATAGGTCAAAGCTAATATTAAATTGTCCTAAATTTTAAATAGGAAGGCTTTTTTCAAACCCTTCAAAGTCGCTGGCTTCATAGGTCCGAAAGCATTTCGAACTTGGGGATAGCAGCACTACACGACTGACGCCCTACCTCTCTAGGTGAATAATCGGCACTATTGAGCTGTTCCTACCTCTAAACTCAAAATTTTTTTTGCTAAAAATTCGACTCTAGGGTAATTTAGAGCCATGACCACGAGTATGAAATTACTTTCCGGCGTTGGCACCACTGGCGCCAGTTTGACGCCTATCTTTCTTTCTCAACAAAATCGATGAAACACTGTATATAGGGTATCATCGATTTTGTAGATAGAAGATAGATGAGATCCTGTTTACGAATACTGCACTCATTTTTGACGCTGGCGCCATTGGCGCCATACTCTTCCCCCCCCCCTCAATCGATAAAAACCGATGTAAAAGGGTTCTTCGATGCCCTGACCACGAACATGGTTCTTTTCTTTTGACACCAGCACCATTTAGTGCTCTGCTAAGGCTGAACCTGGCGGGAGGTTTTCAGGCCAGGCTCAGCATTAGCAGAACGCATACGATCGTAATGTCTTTCAATAGCGCCAGCGCCAAGAATAAATGCCAAATTCGTGATCAGGATTTCAAATAACCCCCACATACAAGTTTTCATCAACTGTCGAGGGTGTTTTGACGGCGGCCCCCGTGGCGCGGGTGCCAGGCGGCTTCGAGCTAAGCGGAGTGATATTCGTTTCAAAAGGTCGAACTACCCTTAGAACCGAGTTGTCAGCCGAATTTGCCCTCATAGAAAAAAGTCGGTAAAAATAGCCGGCCTAATTTGCGGTAAGAACGGGGTGGGAATAGTTCAACAGTGCCGAATAGTCTAAGTGAGCCTTTCAGTCGGACTAAATTGACCCTGACACCTAAGTTAGAATCTGATGGGTGAGATCACGGTATCCTCACGTCTACAACTTCCAGCGTGCGAAACCTATAAACGTAATTTTCTTTCACAATACACATGAAGACCGTGACCCTTGCACTTCCACTTTCCAAACCATAACCTTTTGTTGAATCGCACACACTCATGAATAACGCAAAAAGACGGAGCTAACGCCTCCATATACGGTCGGCAGAATCGTTAGCTCTGGCGGCGTGCACGCATATTCAATCACATTCGATTGAGGTTTTGATGCTGAATCGATTGCAGCCAAATGCGCTGTCGCCGATATTCGCAGTACTTTCCAAACAGATTGGGAAACGTGGGCTAAACCTTTAGGTGTCTGTCTCCTTCGCTTGCATATTGACATGTGAGTAAACACTGGATTCCGCGAAAGGGGATTATAAGCACCGCTTCAGCCTCTTAACTAGATTGCGTCTTAATTCAAGCGATAAACCTTGACTACAAGGCGTGTACAATCGAACTTCACAATGGCTAATGCCAATACAAAAACCATAAACAAAACTTGGTTGACCTTGGCGGTATCGGTTAGATAAGCGCTCAACTATACTCCAAATAACCAGTTTGGCGCCAGCAATTCAAAATGTGTTGGACGTCCATACCTGGGTCATCTTCTCTCGATTGGCCTTCGGGTTAAGGGGTGCTTCTGTCAGCAAGACAGGGTGCTCTTCAGGGGCAACACGAAGCTCGTTGTAGAAGGTGTGGATGCCAGATTTTCTCCATATCGTCCCAGTTGGTCACGATTCCATGTTCGATTGGGTATTTCAACGTCAAAATACCTGCAACGTTAAAGGTTAAACCCGACAATTTGTGTGGTTACTAAAACGTTATTGTAAGCATACCTCTCTTCGACTGGGCCTCGTCACCAACATACGAGTCCTTCTGACCCATTCCTACCATGACACCTTGATGTCGTGGGCGACCAACGATCGAGGGGAAGACGGCTCTGGGAGCATCATCGCCCGCAAATCCTGCTTTGCACATTCCAGATCCATTATCTACCACAAGAGCTGCTACATCATCGTCACACATCTTTGCCTGAAGTGCTTTAAAAATTCGTAGGAGTTAGACAATAAAGCCTCTTACAATACAACGGTGAGGAAATCAAGGTAGCAAGAAACGACAAGCAATGTCACCCAAGTCGAAGCAAAGCCAAAAAGGGAAGAAAGAAATTCTAGAAGTGAATCGATGAAACCAAGGGTCTAGGAAGGATGTCCGAGTGAAAGAGCGAACGTTAAGGAGAAGTAACTCTAATGCAGCTTTCCTCTGTGACTCGGAACAAAGCTCTTCTGTAAACA